GTGAGGATAAACTTTTTTTTTTCCTCATGGCTGGTGGATTGCATTAGTTAGCACTTAATTACTGAGGTTATAGTTTAAGGAGGTAAATATTTGAGCCTTTATTTGAGGAGGTGAGGTTGACTGATAACAAGTTTTGTTACTTACCAAATACTAATGTGGGAGTTAAAGAAAAACTCACTCATGAAACAAATAGCAGAAAATAAACAAAGCAAGGAAGAAGGAGAGGGAGAAAGGAAGATGTGAGTAAAGGAATACCAAATGCAACTAAAAGAATGGAAAGGGAGTGGAGAGGTGGCTCAGTGGCTAAGAGCACTGCCTGTTCTCCCAGAGGACCTGAGTTTGATTCCCAGCACCCATAAGAAGGTTCACAACCATCTGTAAATCTAGTTCCAAGGAACCTGATGCACTCCTCTGGCATCTGGCGTACATGAGGTACACAGACATATACATGCAAGCAAAATATCCATTCCCCTAAAATAAAGTTAAGAATGAAAATATTTAAAAGAATAACTATAATATTTGGATTTTTAAGTAAAGCAACACAGTTTAAACAAATGGTGACAAGATAGGTATGGTGACATAACCCTTAATTCCAGCTCTCTAGAGGCAGAGGCAGGGAAATCTCTGTGAGTAGGAGGTGAGCCTGGTATTCATACAGGGTTTGAGCCCAGATTGGTTTACATAGTTAAACTGTGTCTCAAAAACTAACTAAATAAACAAATAAGTAAAATGGTAGACAGAGATTTACTAGCCAAACATAATATAACAAACAGGAAGACAAAATTAGCAGTAGTAATATTGAATAAATTCAAAACATTAAATGGAAAAAATTAAATTACAAATATTAAATTGGTGAAGGTAATCCATAGATATATGTTGTAATAAAATCCATAGTAGGAAAATGTTGGAAATTTAATAAAACTGATATAGAAAGATAATGAAACCACTGGACTTTAAGACATCTCTCTCAAGACAGTTAGCAAACACCCAAAGGAGGAAAAATTTCATTATTCCTTGAGAGAGGACAAAAGCGTGGCACTGTTGCAAAATTCAAACTGTGCCATTTGCCACAGACTTCAAATATATGTGAAGAAAAATCCTTATTGGATCATTATGTATACAGCCACAAATTATTTATTTTTTTCATTTTTTATTTGAATTACAAACAAGATTGAATTACATGACAATCCCAGTTCCTTCTCCCTCCCTTCCAAATTATTTATTTTTAATGATAGAAATATGGCTAAGCAAATATCACACACACACACACACACACACACACACACACACACACACACACACACACTCACTCTTTATTCACAGGACAGGCTATGGTGGTTATAGAAAACAAGTTGTACCTGTATAAAACAACACAGTAAATTTCAATTATGTTAGTTTAAGATAGAAAAGCAAACTGTAATACATGCACCACTGGTGCTCAGTCTATGTATATCTTCACACACACACAATCTATAATTAATATGCTACATATCGTCTTTATTGTTAAATAACCTTCATTCAAGAAGCATAGGGGGAAATCGACTTCTGCATGTATAGTGAGTTTTCATTTTTCACTTCTAGCATGCAGACCGGTTTTAAATCTAACTGGAAAAAGTCAAATCCTCCAATATAAAATATCATCACTAGCTGAATCACCAAACAAGACAAGCAAGCAAATAATGACAGCCTCAAAAGGTCAATAGATCACGATGCTTCCTTCTACTTGTCAGATAGATATTGATCACCTCCTCTGTGGCAATTTTTTCTGAACATGAGGACCTGTCTGTTCCTGTGACAATGATGGCATAGGGGGCATTTTCCACAATCCACAGAAGCGACATGAAGAAAACATGGGCTTCAAACCTTTGTCAAATCCAGAGAGTAGCTAGATCAACACAATGTCAGTTAATTAAGAAAGCAAATAATTCAGTTAAATAATGAGCAAGTGCCTGGATTAAGGAAAGACAAAGAAATGACCAACTGGTCTGTGGAAAGGTGTTTACCATCATTAATCACTGGCAAATTCTGTTTTGTAGTTAGAAGGAGTAAGACTAAGAATTCTATCATATAAAATGCAGCAAACAGTTTGTATGTATGTTTGAAGGTCACTAAGAGTGGATTGTTTGTTTGTTTTGTTTTGTTTTATTTTTGTTTTCGAGACAGAGTTTTCTCTGTAGCTTTGGAGTCTGTCCTGGAACTCGCTTTGTAGACCAGGTTGGCCTCCAATTTACAGAGATCCACCTGCCTCTGCCTCCCAAGTGCTGGGATTAAAGCGTGCGCCGCCACCACCCAGCAAGAGTGGATTTTCAATATTCTTATCTGACAGAATGTGTGAGGTGATGTGATGAGCAATGAGTATGGTATGGCACTCCCACGTTTTAATGTCTATCAAAGCACCAAGCTCTACAACACAAATCACATACTTAAATAAAAATAAAAGTGAACAGAATGGGCTGGAAGGCAGCTCAGCAGACAAACGGGCCAGCATCTAAGCCTACAATGTGAGTTTAGTCTCTAGAATCACAAGGTAGAAGGAGAAACTGACCCACACATGTTGTGCTGTGACCATCACACATGCCTGTGCAAGCCTACACACACACACACACACACACACACACACACACACACACACGTGCGCGCACGCGTGTGCACCTTGATACATGTGTGCCCACAAGTAAATGCACATACAATAAACTCAATAAATTATATGAAGTCTGATGGAACACATAGGTATTTAAAGTTGTCTACTACTTTCTGCCTTTTATTTGGGGTAATAAAATTCAAATTATGCACCAGGTAGAATAAAAATATGTAACCTTGGAAAATTTGCTCTGCCTTTTCTTCCTTTTCTTTCTCTCTTGTTCTACATCCCCAGAAAGATTAGAAAAGCAGTTCTCAACCTTCTTAATGCTGTGACCCTTTAATACAGTTCCTCATGTTGTAGTGACCTCAACCATAAAATTATTTTGTTGCTACTTCACGACAATAATTTTGCTACTGTTATGAATCTTAATGTAAATATCTGATATTCAGGCTATCTGATAAACTACCTAGAAAGGAGTCACCATCCACAGGTTGAGAACCACTGTATTAGAGGCTCTGCCAATGGTTCTTGGTGGCAAAGAGGAGGGATAGCTAGAGAAAGTCCCATACACTCCTTTTATGCAATAGCTGGAGTCACGGAGATGACTTCACCTTTAAACCAACCTTGGGAACTTGTGTGGAGTTTGTAACTGGAGATAGAAATCATCAATAACTTAATACTCTCTGGGCTGCCCAAGCTTGAGAAGCAAGATTGTAGGAACTGTTTAATTTTTTTAAATTCAAGAACAGCGAAAAGTTAGTCCATAAAATAAGCATTCAAAGAATATTTAAAAAGAAACAGAGAAGCCTCCTGGCCATATGTTCCACTTCCATTATTTGGATTATGTGTTGTATGTTTTCCAAATGCACATTTTGCTTTTGAATTTCTAGTCCTTATGAAGTCAACATTCTTGTCTTCCCCCTTAACTAGAGGTGTCATGGCCATCCTCTGGTGGAGTATGACTCTGAATATTTTTGTCACAGATATGAATATTTGTGCAAGAGCCTTCCACACTGTGGAGAATTCCAGAGTTAAGAGAAATAACCTCCTGTTGTCATTCCCTTTCTAAATAGTCCTCACTCAGAGACCTGTTTCAGAAACCTGGGCTTTTCTCATCCAAATTTTCAAGATGTGTTTAAACCAAATACTATTCCTTCATTATTCAGTTACTATTGAGTGTCTTTTCAACTGTTTGTTGGCTTTATGCAACAAAGTCATCAAAATTGCCTCACATGATTTCCAAGGAAGTTACTTTAGAAAAATGTATTTCAACTTAAGGGCTGGGATATAGCTCAGGACAGAGCACTTGCCTATCACACACAAAGCCCTGAGTGGGTCCAAACCCCAGGAACACACACACACACACACACACACACACACACACACACACACACGTGGGTTATATTTTTTCCAAGTACAAGTTTAGTCTTTGCATTTCTAAATGCAGAGCCCCATGAGCTACACATTCTTGTCTCCTCTGTCCTTAGCTAGTGAGGCCATAGTGATTGATAGCAGCTGTATTTCCTTATCTCAAACCAAAGCAAATATTTTTAAGTGCAAAGGTCATATGTATAAGACATCTTCACAGGGATAGCCTTACAAAAGTGAGTATTTAATGAGTCTCACTAAGTGATTTCATTCAGCATATAGACTGATATAATTGGGTTTCATGAGATCCAAGTTTCACACTTAATGAAAAACAGTGGCAGGAGATATTCTGGGAATTGGGGCTCTAGCTGCAGACCTGGTTGTCTTGACATGTTCATGAGAATCATCAAGATAATTTCAAACATCTGAAAATTTGCATTGGGGCAGCTCTGCCACCCCTATCCTCTCCTCCAGTTCTATAAACCTGTTGCCCTAACCTGCATGGTGGCCAAAGAGACTAAGGAAAATGCCGTAGAGAGGAAGCACATTTTCTGTGAGTGCTCTGCTCTCCTAGCACAGAACAACTGAGTGACTCTTGCTAAATAAAGAAACGAAGAATCCAAGAACTTCGAGATTACATCCTTCTAGTTGACAGTACAATCTAGAAATCATTCAAAGTGCCCAAGTCAGACACCTCTTCCTGCAATTACCTTTTACAAAATGATTTCTATCTAGATTTTAAGTTCCATTCGTCTTTGAAAAGATCTTACTTTTCCTTACTAATTGTTGATGATAAAATTGTGCCAACCATAATTCAATAGCAATAAATAACTGTCCTTGCTTAACATTCCATTTGTGACTTCTTAAATGCTAGGATTTGAATCTTAAACTTGTGCCTTTATCATTATTTATTTTTGTCTGAAAGAGATAACAATAGAAAATTAAACTTGAGAGAAAATGATAAATATCTTGACACAGTGCTGTTTTTCTATATTTAGTGTTTCAGTGTTAATGAGCAGCCAAGAAATGATATCATTTTTCCTTTCAGCTGTTTACCTCTGCAAGAGAACAATGCAAAACAAGGCAAGGCTAGAACTAGCAGATTACGAAGCCGTAAGTACCAAGGATGCTTATAGACTGGTATGAAATGAGGAGAAATCATGCCTTTGGCCATGTCTGGGTTCTCTGTTCTTTCTGCATCCCTGAAACAACTAGGCTTCCTTGGATCTGACAGCCCAGTGCCTTGGTGATCCCCCTCTTTGCTTTCTCTTTCCCCTGACATTGAGGACAATAGAATTCTAAACAATACAAACTCAATGTATAGAGAAACACATCTAAAGTAACTTAATTGTAAAGATTGCAGATAAATACTATATTGATAATGTCCAAACTCTGAGGATGCAAAACTGTTTACACTGGGGACTGATTTAGCAGAACTATCAGATTGATGACCACCATCAGATAAAGGCAGTCTCGTGTACCTTGTTCTAATGATTGCTGTGTTGTGATAACTAATTCAGAGCCCTGTGCAGAAGTAGATACTGGGATGCATGGCTCTTCTCAGGGCCTGAACAAACCGATTGGATCAGTGGTGGGAAGGCATTGCTTTCCCATCTCCATAGAACAGCACAGAAAGACACAGTGAGTTTGCCTTCAGTACAAACAAAGGAACATTCAGTGCTTGACAACTGTGTGTCCTGTAAGGTGATTGATAGTGGCTGGTGCCTGGGACTGTAGCCTGGTAGGTAAAGTGCTTGCCCAGCATGCACAAAGTTCTGTTTTCTATCCCCAGCACTACATAAACTGGGGAGGTAGAGGTGAGAGGATGAGAAGTTCAAAGTCACCTTTGGCTACATGGTAAGCTAGAAGCCAGACAGGACCTGCAAGCCCCGTGATTAATCGAGGTCACGAAGCACAGTTGATTCAGATTCAGAGCCATGTAATACTTTAGAAAATCTGAAAGGAACACTAGACTTTCCTCAGATGTTCCATGTTTTTGTTTTGTTTTGTTTTTTTCAGGAGAGCCTGGCCAGGCTGCAGAGAGCGTTTGCCAGGAAGTGGGAGTTCATTTTCATGCAAGCAGAAGCACAAGCAAAGTGAGTCCTTGTGAGTCTGTGGGGAGATTTGCTCAGGTGTGGCCTCCTGTGCAGAGGTAGCACACTTAAGCCTGCTAACTCTTCATGTTTACCACATTGACAGAGTGGACAAGAAGAGAGACAAAATTGAAAGGAAGATTCTTGATAGTCAAGAGAGAGCATTCTGGGACGTCCACAGGCCTGTGGTGAGTAAGCTCGAAGGCATGTTTCCATGAACTCATGTCTTAGGTTTGGAAGGAAAGGGTGCCCTGGAGCAGACTATGATCCCCTCTAGTCTGTCCCAGTGTTTGGGTGAATTAGATTGCTGCCTCTGTATAAGATGAGAGTTAATGCACTGTATATTTATAAAAAGGATACATTTTCCCTTGATGTGGCTAGCCAGCTCGCTATAGACATCCCAGGTGCCTGATGCTGTTGTCAATACTTGAAGGGGAAAACACACTTCTAACAGGACAGTATTTATTATGCTTGCTGTTTACTTTTTGGGGCTTTATAGACAAACTTAGAATCAAAATGTTATTGCTGGCCTTTATTTTTTCTTTATAACTTATTAATGCCTATTGGGTCTCTTGAAAATAAGAATATCATCAAATTTTAATCAATTCACACTTCCTGAATTTTTCTTTTTACATTTGTGTGTATGTGTATGTGTGTGTGTAGAAAAACTTACCATGGGAGTCTGTCCTCTTCATGTGGAGTCCTGGGTTTGAACTCACATATCAAGCTTGATGATGAAGGCCTTTATGCCCTGAACTATCTCACCAGTCCATCAATTCATACTTTTAATGATGCAACTTTGAATCTATATAAGAAATTAGCTCTTCTCTCTAATATTGTCAACTAAGTGCCTCACTGTAACAAATATGGAGTGTCTCTAATAAACTTGTGGAAGGTGTTTACCATGGTTATAAACCTTCACAAGATACCATATCTACTGTGCATGTAATCCACGCAGGAGATTCAGTCAGCAGTATTGAGTTCAAGGCCAGCCTAGGATACATAGCAAGCCCCTTTCTCTAAAGAAACAAGCCAGGGGCTAGAGAAATGGCTTGGTGGTTATGAGCCTGTATTGCTGTCTTCCAGAGGACCTGGTTTCAGCTACCCATGGTGGGTAACACACAACTGCCTACAACTCTAGCCCCAATGCCCTTTTCTGGCCTCTCTAGAAACCTGCTTTCACATGTTCATGCATGCACACATGCTCATGCATGCACATACATACACAATTTGCATAATAAGTTAATAATGAAAGCAAACAAAAGACCACATGTCTAGCTTCATTCTGTTTTGAAAAGATATCTTTCTCTTTTGTGAATTTCCTTAAATACAGACAGGTCACTAGAGAATATTTATATAGGCATTACTAGAAGAAATAATAGGTTCACAGCAAGAAAAAGAAATCACAATGAATGACTTATAGATGCCTTAAATTTTTCCTCTCAACTACCTTCTGAGTTAGACAAAAATAGAAGGAATCCAGAGATGTATTTACAGGAATATGTATTTCAATTCAGACAGCAATGCAGTTGTCAGATTTTATTTTGAATTTGTTGTCATTTGAACTCTCAAGAGAGAAGAATTGAGTTACCTGACTTTTCTATTCAAAATACTCTTGGAGTTTTTATTACTTGTGGTGAAGAAGGAATTATGAGATCATGCTCATAATTCATGAGGCTATGAAACAGAATTTCTGTTTCCTTAAAGCAGCCTGCAGACTTTAGAGATACCTTGCTGCATTAGTTGCTTGACAACACTATGTCTGAATTTCCACAGACCAGCTAAGGGAGGAAGGATTCATGGCTTCAAAGGGTTCAGTCTATCCTGTTGAGGATGACATCAGAGAAGAGATTTATTCACTTCACGTGGGCCAGGAAACACACATGGAAGGAAGTGGTGATAGATGATACTCCTTTAAGGACTTTCTCTTGGTCACCTACTTCCTCCAGCTGGACTCCGCTTCTTCCAGCTTCCACAACTTCCCTAAACAACACCCAGATGCTGGGAAGAAAACATTGAAATCATGAGCCTGCAGAGGGTGCTAATTCCAATACCCTCTGCATAATGCAACATAATTCCATGTTTGATTATGCCCTCCAATTTACTCTTTTTTATGCCACCCTGAAGTCATTGGCTCCATCCCCCTAATAGAGACAACAGGCTAGTCTTTGTATTCTGTTTTCTAAATAAAAATAGACTTGTATTGTCCTTGTGCTTTGGTGAGTGGTATTCACATGACAGTCATTTCCAGGGATGGACACAGAGATGTGGCACCTTCTTGGAAATCACTGTACCTTCCTCTTCTTCATTTATTAGTAGGGATGGCAGTGGACTTTCACAATTACAAAAAGAATGGAAAAAAGATGGTATTTGAAAACAGTGAATAAATTACATAGAGTCTTCTATCATCTGGAATTTTGCTGTCTACCTATTCATCTTTTCTTTGGAAAGGATGGATGCATGTAGCTAATACATGTAGCCTGGTACTTTTTATATTGATCAGGTTGGCCTCAAACTCAAAGAGATCCATCCATCTATGTCTGCCATCACACTGCTGGGATTAAAGATGTGTGCCACCTTCCCCAGCCTTATTATAACTTTTTAAAAAGCTAGCTGAAACAACATGACACAGAGTATAAATGTAGTTCTTTCTGTAGAGTGCTGGCCTAAAATGGAAGAAACCCTGGGTTGAATCTCAGAACTGAAAAACCATGCCTGGCAGCACAAGCCTGTAATCTCAGGATTCAGGAGGTGGAAGTAAAAGAATTAAAAATTCAAGGTCATTACTACTACACAATGGGCTCCAGAGGTTGGCCTGGGCTGCATAAGATTCTGTTTCAAAAGCAAAAAATTTTAAATATCAAAATAGGGAGGAAGGAAAAAGAAGCAAAGAAAAAGAAAATCCATGATACTTGGTCTTAAAAGCATAAAGATAATAGATATTTCTACTACACTAAAAGGTCCTATACTCATTACTTCATGGTAGTAAGACACAATCTATGTCAGATCATTAAGTAATATTAATTATATTTTCCTGGAATGATTTACATTCATAAGATATAAAAATATCTTTGTTTTAATAACTGGAAATTGAGTTATATGAACAATGTTGTTTGTTCATGCTTTTTTATTTAGATTAGAAACAATCATATTTTACATATCAATCCCAGATCCCTTTCCCTCCATCTTCCCATGCCCCCCACTGACCTCCCATCCCATCCCTTTCTGTTCCCAAGGGAGGGTGAGGCCTTCCATGGTGGATCATCAAAGTCTATCATATCATTTGGGACAGGGGCTAAGCCCTTCCCCAGTTTGTTGATGTTTTAATAAAAATATATATCTAGTATTGGTCATTAGAAAGCTGCTTTTTTTTCCAACAGAGGGGATTTGTTTCTTTGGTTATACCTGCCCGATCTTGTTTTGATCTGGTTCCATTTATTTAATCAGGAATAGGATGAGCAAAAAGCATCCGCAGCTCAGCATCTCACAGACTTACAGCTGGCTTAATGTGATGTTATGATACGGTTTGTGAATTAAAACCTAGCAATGTAGGAAACACACCTAATAGGATTTTAATGTGATTTTTTAAACCATGAGGTCATCCTTAAGTCAGATTAGAAAAATAATCTGTATCTTATATTTAATACCCTTATAAAATAAAGTTAGCTTCTCTAAGTGTGTCAGTGTTTACCCTGGAAAAACTAAATTGAGGCTTAATCAAGGAGGCAGACTCTCTACTTGCCAAGAATTCTCAGAAACAGCTCAAGAACACGGTGGGAGAAACAGACTAGATTTTATTATATTGAAGATAATGTGGTATTTGGTTTCTGTTGTATAGCTGATGTTATAAGGAGCTTTATTTTACTTTATTTTTGCAGTGGTGCTTTAACCTAAGGTCTTGCCATGGATAAGACATTATTGCTGAACTACACTCTCAGCCCATCCAAGCCCTAATACATTGAAAATCACTATTGATAAGTTAGGGTTTGTAAAGTCAAAGATTTAAAATGCTGAAGAAAATCCATTTTGTAGCTTTCTGCAACATTCAGGAGACCATGTTTTGAAAAGAGTGTAGGTGATTTGGATTTAAGGCAAGCAGTTGAATGGGAAAGCAACAAAACAAACAAGTACACACACACACACACACACACACACACACACACACACACGCACACACACACACACACACACACATGCA